AAATCATTCATTCAATAATTCATGTTTTTTCTAGTAGTGATGGTGCCTCTTTCATCGCGTTGATAATGTTTGAATGAATGTCATTTTCTTCTGACATTCATGTATCTAAATATCCGTCGCAAACAATTGTTCGTTTCCAGACATCGGTGACAAACTAGATCTTTTTTTGTCCGTTCTCAAATTATAAGAGTGCTTCTGAATCGAACTATTTGTTCGGTTTTATTAATGTACGTAATTTCTCCAGAAATAAGTGTAATTCATTACAATCACATAGGTTTAAAAAGAACGTCTTTTTCTGCAAGACTCATATTAATGATAGACTTTTGATTGAAAATCGTTATAACAATCTGTTTATTAAAAAGACTGTTCACGATAAATTTTCAGAGACTATCATTAACTGTCTTATATTCATTAGTGCTCTTTCAATGATTTATATTGAATAAACGAAAATAGAAACATTCTGTTGTTTCACGTAAAGTAATTTTAGATGATGATTGCTTGTCAAACATATGCAATGATGTAGATATGTCAAGACCTTCTAGAGCTAATTGATCCATACTATAAATAGAATAAAACTTTCGGGGAGCTACTATAGTGAGCGAGAATTATCTGAAAACGACAATCAATTACATCCAGGAGAAATTTCAATACAAGAAGGAATAGTTTAATGCAAAAATGCCATGAGTCCCTTATCCTCTCCGATGATATAATTTTGCTTGGATGTCATTTCTCTGATTTTTATGGAATCATGCAAATCAAATGAGTTGTTGCTAAAAGCTTAGATTGTTTTCAAAGATCTTTAGGAATAAATGCGGAAACTTCGGATTTAAATCCGAGAGTTATGTGTACTTCAAAAAGTGAATCATACAAATCAATCATCCTAGACTGTCTGAATATCAAAATTATACTGTGAAATCTACCATTTAAAATGTTGATTTCTATTGCGCGTTGCCAAAACCAATAGGACATGGGACCGAATACAGCTCAAGTTTGAACTCTTTCCCTTGATTTACCCTAAGAAAGTCGTTTTTCCTATAACTTCATTTCTATTGGTCACTGCACAACTAATAGTATTTCGATGGAAGTGCAGTACACATTCGAGTTCTCCATATCTGAAAACCTCGAAGTATCATCAGTGTGACCGGAAGATAAAGCTCTATTTGAGGATCAATTAGATCGTAGACCAAAATATAACCTAGTTCTCTTTAATTATCCTTGTCATTGGTAAGTCAACCTTCTTGTTTCTTTATGTTTTATATATCATTTTGTAGTTCTTGAAATTCTCTATCGAATGGTATATAATAGTTGGGGTTTTAATTGACTATGATAGGAAAAGTCTTACGAAAGTCGCGATGAGTCCTTTTTTCCACAGAAAGCTATAGGGAAAAATGGATATTTTTGCAATAACTCAGGAACGGCTCGGCCGGTTCTTCTCATCTTCGAACTCGACCGAGATATTGCCAAGACTAAGGCGTGTAGAAAGTTTCATCGCAATCTGACCCTGCTGTCAAAAGTTATCATGTAAACAGCCAACCGGACGGACGGACACACTGACTATTCTATAGTGTACTCACTTTTTGAGTACACAAAACTATGATTCGGTTCAAAACTAATATCAGGTTCAGAATCAGCGTTAAAAACTGAGTCGATTTATGTATTTTGTGAATAATTATGAGCAAAAAATTTTTTTCGAAAAATCCCCGTACCCCCCCTCAGGGATGGTCTGGTCAAAAATCACAATTTTTTCGATAACTCAGCCATTTCTTGACGGATCCTTCTCATCTCCGAACTCGACCGAGATATTGTCAAGACTGAACTGTGTAGAAAATTTCATCGCGATCTGACTCTCTTTTCAAATGTTATCGTGTAAACGGACGGCCGGCCGGCCGGACGGCTGGACGGCCGGACACACTGACCGATTCTAGAGTGTACTCACTTTTTGAGTACACAAAAATGATCAAAAGAATATTAATCAAGAGCAACAATTTCGAAAAACAATGAAATAACACATCGATTATTCAATCAAGTTCCTTAACTGAAAGGAAATAATGACTGAAAAATTGACAAAGAGTATCTGTGAGAGTGTTCGCATCATCAAAGAGAAGTCTATTACCTCACACTCAAAGGAGCTCAGCAGACATCATGATCACGGAACTATTGATACGAATTCAGTGGATTGCGGTGTATACTTAAGATCACGGATTGTTCGAGCACAGCCTATGTTCTAACACTCGTTCTAACGGAGATTATCGATAAAAACACTTGTTCTAAACTAGAAAGCATGGAAACCTATTGATCAATCGTTCTGAAAATGAAAAAATCTACACATTTGAGACTCTCTAGTGTCACGACACGATTTCATTTCGAAGTTCAAAGGTGAGAATTTGATTAGATCTGCAGAAAATCCGATATTTGGATTCGACATTCCACAATTTCACTATCATGTAATTTTGGAAAATGTGGCAATTCACGACGTGAGTTTGTGAGTAAATGCTCTCAGTGCCTCATTTGAGCACATCTTTCGAAATGAATAGAACAAATATTGCAACCATCTACATTTCAATCATATTTATCTCTTTTATCACGGAACAAGTGAATGGATGAATGATAGAAATCTAATTGTGAACAAAATTTCATCAAGGTATTTCAAATAAAAACTTTGTTTTACATACACAACCGATTCCTCAAAATAGATTCTTCTGTAAATTCAAACAATGTTGCTCACTCACTATTTCAACTAAAAGAACAAATCAATATTCACTCAATGAGATGTACTGATTTGCAGTTGATGTACATAACTCACTTTCCTATCATTGAAGAGAGATAAGTATGTTCTGTACATTGCATGAACCATCCCTTTGAAGCTAAACAAAGCTTAACTACTGCACATGTTTTATTTACGTCATTTTTGTGCAATGACAATGTGTTTGCACATGGTATCTTTAAGTAGTTTCTCTCAGTTGAGCAATAAAAGTTCTTGAAGCAATCGACGAATGAGGTACTTTCTCGATTGTCAATAATGATTATTTTCTCTTACTTACAAAAAAAAACTTCACAAGTCAATATTCAAATAAAAATTCATGTACAGAGTAACGACACAAGAATACTAATGAAAAACATTCTTACAAAAGACAACGTTCTCAGTCTTCGATTACTACATCATGAAGACTTGTTCATATGAGATAGAATAGAACGCTGCTTCCAACTATCGCACCTCCAATATCTGAGTAGTCGCACTTAGAGGTGTTAGCCGCCGATTTTTCGCCGCCGCCGCCGATAAAATTTTCATCCGCCGCCGCCGAAGAGGGAGTTCCGGCGAGGAATTTTTCGCCGCCGCCGCCGTCGATCGAATTAGAATCTCTAGTTCAAACTTCTTCCTTTTCTGAATAATCAATTAGGCGAGAAAACAAAAGGTATGAAACATATAAATAGTTGCGTTCGCATTGCACATTCAGTGATACAACTGACATTCTTGTGAACATTGTATTATATCTGGCAGGTGAAGAAAAACTGATTATTCTGCTAGAATGACGCACTGTGTTCGAGATGTTTACATCAAGCTCCGCTCTTTCAAGACCGGTCACTCTCTTGCATGGTCATACTTCGGTCAACTGACATCATTAAAAATGAAAGAAGCGATCGATAACAATACTATTTATTGCAAAATTTGCTTTGACAAACAAGTAGATTGAAATGATACTACTATTGATTCTGCTTCTAGCATACGCTATTGTTATTTTTCAACTTATTGTACCTTAAAATATTGAAAGTCTTGACTTGATGAAAATAAACTGACGTATGGTGAAAAATCTTTTTAGAAAAGGAGATCCACATTGAAGGAGATATATAATGTTATATTTCTGTGAGAACGGAACGTGTTATGTTTGTTTTAGTAGTAGGGAACCACGAATAAACGGAAACGACGCACGAACAATTTCACCGCAGCCGCTGAAAACGGTTTCCTCGGCGGACTTGATGCGCCGCCGCCGCCGGTATTTTGAAACTTTTCTGCCGCCGCCGCCGGAAAAGGGATCGGCTAACACCTCTAGTCGCACTGTTGATGTATGATTAGAGAAAGCTAGGTAAAAATGGAAAGTTGTTAATCATTGTTTCTCGAATGAGATCATTCTTATCACTGAAAGGTTTTTTGTCTTGAAACAAATATATGTTGTGTTTGAATAATTCTCCCATTTGATTTCTCACAGTCAATCGGTTCAAGAGATATATATGAGCTTTTTAACATTTCAAATGACGGTACCAAGGATGTGGATGTAAGCGTGGTTACCCACACCCATCCAGGTGACAGATTTACTTGTTTTTTAAAATCATCTGATCAACGTTGTCCTAGCAACAGACAAAATAAACTATTATTATCATTGTCATTCTAGCAAATGTCTGCAATGCACATTATATAAATGTAATCAAATGTTGATTACAAAATATTTCAAACAATGAAGAGAAATCATGAAGCAACAACTTCTTCTTCAAGCGATATTGTCTTTTATGATTTCTAACAAAAGAGTTTTGTTAAATTGACCAAAACTCATTTTTTTAATGGCAAAGTGTCGAAAATTTTGTTTTTCGAAGAAACAAGAGGTTGTGGGTGTGGGTGTAGATGCTCTCTTCACGTTGACTCACACCCAATACCCGTCGTCCTCACCTTCGAGTTTTCACGAATTCTTGTGCCTAAATAATATATCATTCCTCTTCTTCCGTTTGCACTTCCATTTGTTAGACTTCGACCGGATCATTGATTCGTTTTTCCTTGTTTAATTTATCCTTCAGAAGAAATAGATAATTGATCGTTATGAAGAAAGTAGTCTATATATTTCATTTATTATGAATCTTGACACTCATATACAAGCTTTACCGTTATGAATTTGATATTATTCATGTTAAGCGTAAAAATAAAGGAAAGAGCCAGACCTTGGCAGGATGAAGGAAGTTGCTTTCGTCTTGATTAAGTGGTTACATTGTAGTTCTCGCTTAAAAATAAAGTTTTATTTAAATTTCAGAATCAAACTTAATTTTAACGCCAATATATTTTGGCATGACAGTGTCAAGCCTTGAATATGTCCACCAACATTCACTTCGAGACCACCATCGATGGATGTAACATGTTGCATTAGTCTAGCTACAATAAATGCATAAGGGTTATGATTTTTGTCTTCACCTCAAAATCTTTCTGAATAGAATAGTTCGGAATCGATCGACCAATATCGTGGGTCTTTTGAAAGAATTCATATGGGAATAATTATTTGATCACTTTTGTACAATTGAATACCACTGTTTGGTAATCGATCATTCATAGTTAATGTTCGAGCCCCTCCATCCAAAGGTGGAGAAAAACGTAAAATTTCTTTGACAACACAATCCAAATAAACAAGTAAATCAAGACGATTTAATATCAAATCATGATGAACATCTTCCTCCATCAGTTCTGCTTTAATCTTCTGTTGTACTTCCCGATGTTTGCTGAGAAGATGAATTGATCATGCCATGGCGGTAGATGTTGTTTCAAAACCAGCGATAAGAAACATAAGCATTTCTCCTAATATTTCACGTCGTATTAGATCTGTAAATAAAAACGCAAATATTGAAACTTGTTAACTCTAATGTACACAATCATAGTTGTGCGAAATTACTACCCTAGTCGAACATCTTGTAAGCAAGATCTTGGCCAAGATCTTAGGTACAGAAAAGTGAACAGGTCTTGAAAATTTAGGTACAGGATAAGCGTATTATCTTGTACGAAGACCTTGAATTAGATCTTGGGTACAGATATATAACAATTGGAATCTGATCAAAATTAGGAATAATCAAGCTCTATTTCTGTGAAAACTGTCTTTTCATCATTTTAGTATTCCATAAAATCCGAAATTATTTTTTTTCAACCAGAATTTTGTCAAAATAATATGTAGTTGATTGACAGTTGTAGACACTACACACGAACTTGATACAAGTTCAGGACAAAATAGAATACAACAGAAAATATTCCATACTCATCCAATGGGCAGAACAAAACAGCTGCATCTAACATTGTACAATTATTGATGCTGTACTTACTATGTGCTACTTATTTTCTTCCGGAAAAACTTGCTTTATCAATAACTGATCGGAAGAACATTTTGCAACTCATTCTTCGTTACGACATATGCTAGCAAATATAAAAAATTTGCAACTACGAGAAAAAACAAATTAATAAAGTTAGCTTAATATAACTTTTCCTGCCATTGAATACATGCAGCGGATAGCAATGTGACAAATACTGATGCTTTACAGTTTTATCAGTCAAAGTTAATTATCAAAATACACGTGATCAATATTGTACTTTCGATGAAGGTGTGAATGTGGATGTGAGCGTGAGTATTAGTAGACATTCTACTCACACCCACACCCCACATCCTATGGCATCAGTCTTTCATCTTTCTATTTACTGTTTTGAGTAACATATATTTTTTATTCTTTAGTTTTTCTATTTAGGTTAGCAACAATAAGAAAGAAGTAAATAGCATTAGGTAAACAGTATGTAATAAATTTTGATTATATATATGATATTTTATAAGTTTCTAAACCATTTCAATTTTTTATATTCTTCCAATATCTAGAGTTGGACAGAGAATGATATTAGATATTTGAACAGTAGCATCCATATTGTTATCCAACACTTGAGTGTGGAATGTGGATGTAACTTTCGATTGAAAAATACATTATTCACACATCTACACGTCCACACCCTTTGTTCGACATATAACATGAAAAATCACACTTAACTGCCAATCAATTCAGGAAATGATTTAAAGAACATCAACCATTTTGTCATAAAAACTATGATGGAACATCTAAATCCATGGAAAAATAAGGAACAATTAGAATATTTCAAAGCTTCATTATTAATGGTCTTCAATATAGAAATATGATGTGCGATGGTAATGCCTCTGCTTATGAAACAGTAAAGCAACATTATGTTCAACGACAACAAACAGATTTAGCAGAAAAAGAGACGACTATATCAAAGAACAAAGATACAGCTACAAATGGTTAGAAAGATGGGCGTGATATTAAATAACCAATTGAAGATACAAGTGGTGAGAAAGATGAAGCTGATATAGGAGACAAAAACGATAGTGATCATGTTAATGAAATTTTTGCCAATAATCCGCATGATTTAATGGTGATAAAAGAAGATTTTATAAATCATGTTAGAAAACGAGTTATGAAGCTCTTATTAGAACTGAAACGAGAGGAAGCTCGAAGAATTTTTATTTTAAAAACAATTACAAAAAGTTTCCTACCATTATTCAAGAAGTTACATTCAATGCATCAACAACTATTAGATGATTGTAAAAAATGGGACGGTAATATTGGAAGTATAACAGATTCAATGATGAAAAAACTGTCCGATAGTCATGGTCTTGCTATTAGGCAAGTCAGCTCATTATCTTGTGGTGAGTACTATAGCAAGTATTATTAATGAGTTATCTGTTTGTGATAAAATTGACAAATCACTTCTTAAGTGTATTTTAGATAAATCAATAAACGGTAGCTTTGGATATTAAGAAACAGCACTGTGGAACAGCATTTTATCAATATAAAAACCGAAGATAGTGATGAAAAGGAGCAACATAAATTTTGTCCAAAAACAAAAGATATTTAGTGTTACTATTAGAAAAACAAATTATTATTAAACAATCGTAGTCATAACAGGAAAAAGAAGAAGATTCAGAAATATCTAGATCCAGTTTTTGAAGACGCTTTACGACCCATGACTGATAAGTTAACATCAAACTCATTATTATCTCATTGTTTACGTACAATTACTGAAAACTCTCATGAGTCATTGAATTCTATCATTTGATAAGTGCTCGGCCTAATTTTTCTCTTCTATCTACTATTTATACTATAGCTAAATGTACTTTTCGTTACAGGAGTATCTTAAGCAAATCAAAGTATCATGCTTCTCGTTCAGTACTTGGTGGTGCTGCTCTTACAACAATATTTGACAATCAAGGACGAAGTGGTTTAATTGACTTCTTTAGAGAATGTGAATGGTATGAATGTAGATAAGGTGTGGATTTTAGTTAAACCATACCTTCACTCACACCCTATTTCGACACTAAGCATTCACTGAATGAGATCAAGCGTCAAATTTTTAAGTATACACTATGAATGCTACGAGCATGAATCAGTCACATTCATTTGTAGCTTTCATAAGTAACTCAGTATGAACTTACCTGAATACTGATGAGATGCCTTAGAAAAAAACAATTATTTTCATATTATTAACTTCTTAGAGTTAATTATTGTTGAAACGATTGAGTATCTGTCACTGATGAACATCCATTTTTTAATAAAAAAATAAAAGCAAAACATAGTTTCAAGTGATAATTTAATATTCTTCTGGCTAATGAATTTTAAACAAAAAAACTTTGAATCGAAATTTGCATAATTTAATCTTTGATCGAATTTATATACGGTTCAGTTGGAGGTTTTTAAAAAATTTAGTCGGTTACGGTCACTTCGATTAGAGATTTTTATGGTTTGATTCGGTTCGGAAAAAATGCTAACCGACCCCATCTCTGTTGTTTACCATCCACAAAGTAATAGAATGGCTGAATACTTTTATGCAGCATTTGTACCTCAATTAGCGAAAGCTCATAATTATGAAATTAATAATTGGGATGAATATTGATTACCAGTGGTTTCTGCATATAACACTGACATACATTGAACTACACAATATTCACCTTTTCAACTACAATTTGGTCGTGAACCTCGTTTACCTATAGATAAACCACCCTGCACTTAAGTATTTCATTAACTGATCGATGATGTTACCAAAATAAAGAAAAGTTTACAAATTATTCATCATACTGCTCGTAATAATATTATTCATGAACAATTGAAATATAGAAATCATTATAATAAACATCGTTATGATCCTATTTATGCAATTTGTGAGCAAGTCTTAATCAAATTTCATGATTATAGATCCAAACTTGATTCTAGATATTCTGTTGCATTTAAAGTAATTATTAAAAAGCAACATCCTATTTATTGTCTTATAGACGAAACAACTCGACTTGTTAATTGTGTTCATGTTAATAACATTCATCATATACTAGTCTTTTTACAAAAATTTCATATTATTTATATTGATCAAACAGATGTAATTAAAAAGGAAATGATTTTTTTTATTAAAATGCGCTTATATATTTACCATGTTAATCAACTATATTATTGCTACATCGACTTTAACAGCTTATATGATTATTCATTAAATCCTATTTATTTAATTATTGTTCTTATCGAACGTTATCTTTATCGTTTAATATTGAATCCCGATTAAAAATTTATGATGAAAAAAGTATCGCTGATTTCTATTCAACATTCACAAGTATATTAGTATCTAAATATGATACGATTATTCATTGAACGATTATCATATATTTTTTTTTCTTTTTTGACTTTTCATGTTATTTTATGTCAAACATGTTTTTCTTCTTTCATTTAAACATTCCATTATTTTAGTTGGGATATTTTTTCATCTTTATCTTTATGCTAAAACACTATTTTGTTCGATGCTTCTTTCTTTTCTCTACCTCCTATTGTATTTTGTTATTGTTGATTCTTTGAGATAGACCATTACATTCATATAAAAAAGGTTTTCTATTTTATTGAAATTTTATTTTCGATGGAACAGTGTTATAATATACCTTCTATATCATATGTATATGTGCATCTTTTCTTTCTCTTTTTGTTTTCTTTTGGTGTTATATATATGCACCTTGATATACTAACAGTAGTGATTTTTTGATTTAAAGAAAATAAACAAGACTATGTGCTACATATTCGAACCCATGATTTACCCTTAAAACAAGTATACTAAAATTAGAACATAACATGAATGACCACTTTCAAATCAGCAACGCAAGAAAAAATTATCGAAACCGATGAATAGAATTCCACTTATCGATATTTTTCTTTTCTGGATGTAAAGCTATATGAACATGCTTTTCACTTGGATAGGTATATGCATGTGCATATTGATAGGCAATCATCTAGACGAGAAATAACAGAAGGAAAGAGAAGAGAAAAATAAAAAGAAAATAAACATGAAAGGTAATACAATCTGATGTTATCGTCACATTTGATAAGAAACAGTTATCGAAATTGCATTGTTATAATATTGACGAATGATCAAATACAATAGAAGCACAGAGCACTGCTTTTACTACCACTGCATGAGAAAAAGTCTTCTCCTGATTTTTATGGGGAAGTAAAGCGCCTTCGTCGCTATTTTCGGGTCGTTCTAAGTATCTTTCAACTTTTCGACATTTTTTTCGGCCTTTTCTGCTTTTTTTTGTTTTCACATTTATTTTGCTATCATTTTCGCTTCAACATTTTTTTTGCAATATTTCTCTACATGATTCATATGTTTTGATATTTTCTATACCTATCAAGTAAATAATGCACACATATTCGTTGGGACGTTATAAATAAGTACGCCATGATGGAGCACTGAAGCATAACGCAAGATAAACACATTTTCACTTGCAAATAAGAACGATTAGGGATTAGTTGTGCACGTATACACGCAGTAGCAACATGTCCGTTGAATGTAAGCTACAAACAACAGAAGCCATTGATCAATCTACGAATGCTAATATGGAAATTACTCAAAGCAAGGCACATGAAAACACTAACTATATCCCCAAATTTGATTCGTCTGACATTAAAAGCCATTCTCCAGATGATCAAGTATGTATTCATTTCTTGGTCAATATTGAAAGTTTTCTATAGTTTTGAAGTAGCAATTTGACTTTATTTTCGATTTAAATGATACGAAAATGCAATTATCAGTAACTTAAACTTGAGATATATTCTAATTTTAATGTCTAAATGAATATAAATCTGCGGCAACTTAAGAGAACACCACCCTTTACCAAGCCTTTTTTTTGAGAACAGTTTGACGATAATTTTTTGTACTTAGCAAGGTCTATTTACCTTGATGAGTAGAAAAAAAGTTGTCATAGACTCAAAACTTCCAAATACTTTCATCCAGGAGATTTTGGCAGGTCAAAGGGCAACAATAGCCTGAAGTCTTTTCCTTCGCAAATGACCACACTTCATTTTCCAGGGCTAAAGTTTTTTCTGTGTCCACTAGAAACAAATCTGAATGTGGCTTTTTTTCTTTGGAAAATATTTTCCCTAGGACTCAGAAGAAGCAAAACATTGGAGGCAATATCAAAAAATGATAAAAAGAAGTTTTTTTTGCATGGTGCTAATATTGTAAAATCTACAAAACTTCATCAGTATAATATTTTCAAAAGCAAAAAAAATACACACCCTGATTTGATCGAAGTTCTCATAAAAAACGTTTGGCCCCAATCTGCTTTACCATTTATGATATAAAGGTACCAAGCTTCAGTTTTTTGTTTGAAAATCTAGTTTTGAAAACAACGCGAAGAAATTTGCATTTTTCGGCTTCTTTCGCCCGGAATTGAGTTTTTCTTCGAGGTTTTGACATGTAAAGAGGTGGTTTAGTCTTCTTGAAATGTGCTTACTAGATAGAGAGCATCTATATACCAAATACAAAAAAAACGAAAAAGCTGAATATTTTGGAAAGGGAAAAGGAATCATCTTAATTTATTTTAAATTTGAATCCTTTGAATTTCGTCATTTACTAAATTAAAAATTACATTAAATTATTCTTAAATTGAAATTACGAATAAAAATAAGATACGTTTATCTTAAATTAACAGGAAAATAAGATCCTTGCTTCTTTTCGATCTCATTGTACATCATGATTATTATTAATTTTGAAGTAAGGCTATTGAGAGGCTAATTTAGTAATGAATAGAATTGTTACAGATAGACGAAAGCGAGTTGCCCGTAGAGATCCAGATATCCGTTAACATTTTCGTCATTGTATCAAACTCTGATAATTCAAGCTCATTGTTCATGTCTATTATGTCTAAAAAGGAATGTTAGAATTTTATGTTTGCTTTTTTTCTCCTTCAAGCACTATCAGTCATGCAGAAGTAAAAAGAAACACCGTCATAGAAATAAGAAACGAAGAACAACGAAAGAAGTTGATGATCACATGTTTGATACAGCAATTGAATGTAATGATGCAGAAATAAAGAATCAGAAATCTGTCCAGGTATCAGATATTCAAACTAAAAGTGATTGCATAAGCAAATCCACCAACCTACCTACAAATTTAAATGAGGAAAATATCAATGATGATCCGAATTCGACTATAGTGGCTGAAGATAGCAATACAACTACCTTGGAGACAGAAATAAGAAATAATCGGCTGATTGCAATCGGCGGTGTCACTGGCATTAATGATCATCTTGATGCTATAATAGGATACGCTGCAGAACCTTTGTTACCACTTCATGAAGCATGTGTTCCGTTGTCTGATATTCTCTACAATTTGTCATTCTACGTACAATTGGCGCTCAATGAAACACCACAAGAACCACCCAATGGATTGACTGTGGACGAGAGTGCTGCAATTCGTCTCTATACTATTGAGTGGGAAAAACCTCATCGAAGTCTCTATTCAATGCTTAATCATACTCTCAAAGGGGCTCCACGTGAAGAACTTCGACCTTATTTCAAGTATCTGAAATTGTTCTTGACTGCTCTCGTCAAGTTACCCTGTGTTCCACCACAAACGGTTTGGCGAGGTGTGGCCAAAGATTTAAGTTCTGAGTTTCCACCAGGCACTTTTGTGACATGGTGGGCATTTTCCTCATGCACTCATTCACTGCCTGTTTTGGAAAATAATAGATATCTGGGTTCCGAAGGTAAGCGAACCCTTTTCTCGGTCGAAGTAATCAATGGTCGAACGGTGCAAGCTCATTCATATTATGTTACGGAAGATGAAATTCTTCTTTTGCCTGGTACATGCATGGAAGTTCAGTCACAGTTTAGTCCAGCACCTGATCTTCGTATCATTCATTTGAAGCAAATAAAACCGACCGAAACCCTTCTCGAACTTCCATTTGAAGGCAATTTTGAGAGAGGAAGACATTTATGAACAAATTTTTTGATTCGTTTGTTTTAGGAGCTCTCCTCTATCCGCCTGAAGAGAAGAAAAAACCTTGGTACAAGTCGAGACGAACGATGTTTGAGTTAGCTCTAATCGTCATAATCTGTATGGTTGGTATGGTTGTTGGTGCAGTACTTGGTTCGAGACGATCACCGCCACCTCCCAGTATGTTGCATTAGCTTTCCTCTGGAAAATGTTCGCGTTTCATTTCTATCTTGAACTAGAAGAAAGTTGAGAAGTTAACGCATCATGAGAAGCTAGAAACTGATATTGAAATAATATCTCACTTGAAGTTTGCTAGAAATTTTCCATGAGTAATTCATTGGAAGTATGTCACTCTCCCAGACCAGATATAACTCAATTATTGACCAACACTTCCAATTTTCTTCGAAAATAATCACAAATAGAAAAACATTTAAAAGGTCAGTGTACTTGGCCCGATTATTAGAATTAAATAAAGATGATTCATTGTTGATGGATATCGTGTAACCAAAAGACTTGCACAACGGAAAGAAAAATACATTTAAATGATAAAACAGACATTAAAATGAATGTGACCGATTCTTATATTTATTCCATCATCAGAAATACTTTTTTTCTCCTTCGTTGATAAACTCTATCAGAGTGATTCATTATTTTTTTGACTTACTAAATATAAGATGTATTTACTGGTTCCATATTCACTTTCACGAGTAGAAGCTTATTGTAAGAAAACTTTTTGGATGCGTCTTTGAGTTCTACATAATGCTATATGAGCAGAACCGGTGGGCACTATAGCCAGGAGTCTTTAACATGCAACCGTAAGCGCAAAATCTTTGATACTCACACAATTCTAGCGAAACTGTACCTAAGAAAGCAGTTTTCTCAGGAGAAAATCTTTCATCTGTCAAAATTTTATGATGAGTTTCCGTGAAAACTGAGCAATTTCAGGATCGAACAAGAATTGTGCTGTTGCCTTATTTTCTGTCCTTTGATAACAATTGTTCATCTATTTAGTATGTAGACCTCGAAGACCGAACCTGATAATGGATTATTTTTGGTCATTTGATTGTGGTGATGCTCGAGAAGATTTGACTGGCTTATATAATGGCACATTTGTAAATGGTTCTGCAACCGTCTCACCTGACTTTTCTGGACAAGGCCAGGCGTTGTATTTGGATAGGAAACAGTATCAATACGTTATTCTTCCTCATTCATTGAATCTAACACTCAACACAAGCTTCACAGTGTCTGCTTGGTTATTAGTAGCTGGCTATCTGACAAAAACGATTTTGAGTGACTGTAATAACTGCAATCCAATATGTATCAGCTTTATCATCACTGATACAACTATAAACATTGAAGTTTCAAATTGGGATAATGCAACTATACTGCAAGAAGTCTCTGTTTCTGTTCAGGAATATATTTGTCAATCTTGTTGGATTCATGTTGCGTTCTCATTTGATCGTCAAACGGGATCGACTGTTTTCTATTTCAATGGTATCGAAATCGAAAGAAAATATTTGAATTTCATTCATCAAACCTTACCACAAATGAGCAAAACCAAAGTGTCCTATATTGGATTGAATGCAGTGACAAAGACGTGGCCCTTCTATGGTCTCATTGATAGTGTATCTGTTTTATATGCAGTGAAAAATGCCAGTGTAATTCGTTATGAAGCAACCATACTATGTCAATATAGGTTCAATAGCGATGATATCAATGCTGGATGGGGTCCGAATAATATTCGAGCACGCAGTCAACATGTCTATCGATTATGGTGGAACAATCAGAGTAGCCTTCTTTTCAATGATAGCGACTCATATTTTCAATCGACTGGATTCACTCTACTGTACTCAAATGTTTATGAATATTCAATAGCTTTCTGGCTTCGTTTAAAAATAGAGAAACCCGAGAAAGCTAATAGTGCTATAGCTGTCTTACAGCTAACATCTTTGATCCCTGAATTATCATCAGGCAGCTACACATGCGTCATGAGCATACATGTTTACCCGAATAATCAGACTTTGGGGTATTTTTTCCCGAGCATCTTCGAAGTATTCAATATTAATGGTTCATTCATTGGGAATAATACTTGGGTTCATATTGGTGTAGCATACAAAAGTCCAGAAACCTATTTATTTTATGAAAATGGCCAACTGGTTGCTACTTACACGCATCGACGTTTCTCATCAATCATAGCTGATGATCCACGATTTTCGATGACTATCGGAGGCGCATACTTAGATGATTCTGATCCGAATAAGCCTGATAATTTTGAACAAATGAAATGTTTTGCTAGAATTCCAGTTTTTAATTACACGAAGATGTATGGAGAAATGGATGATTTAACGTTTTATTCAAGAGTCCTAGATGCATCTGAATTTTCATCTTTGGCCAAGTCTTATATTACAGAGAGTTCAGTCGAAAAATTTTGACAATCTACTTGAAGTTTATCAATAGCTCGAATATTCTCTATTAATACTATTGTGTCGAACAGATCATGTTGATTTCATGCAACAATTTTTCGCTTTCTTATTAACAAGAAAGGTTGCTTTATCTCAGTCCTATAAGTATAACAGCTAAAATTCTTTGAACTCATTTTCATGATACTTTAGAATGATAACTGCAGTATTTTGTTTGATTAACAACATGCTAGCTTTGTTCAACTTTAAATGATGAAATGAAGAACAAGATATATTAAGAATGCGGGTGTCGGCGTAGTCTTTTCTGTAGCCACATCGACACCTACAGTCTCATCCATATCCATATCCTACCTATTTGTATCATGATTTAGAGGATATAACGAAACTACGTATCGGTTTTCTTTGATGAGCAATAAAACTAATCGATGTCAAACTAAATAATGTTATGTTTCTTATCGAGCCAGCCAAAATAATATCAGTTGCTGAAACTCTGACTACCAACGATACACAATCGAAGTGTACCAATGTGTTACAACGTTGTGCTTGTCCATCAAGTCAACATATTTTAGTTGGACTGCAATAAATCAAAAACAGCTTGCTTTTCGTCTTTGTAAACCATGAACATGCAAGAAATTTTTGTTTTATTGATACTCAAATTTTTCCAAGGTTACATAAATCCATACAGTTGCGGCAAAAATTATTCCGTACAATTTCAATAATGATGGTATTTTTCGTTATTCATGATTTTAAAAAAGGTATTTGTAAAAGTCATTGGAGACAGGAAAGAAAAATGATACATTCTTAATTTACTATTGTGGAGCCGTGAATTTTCTTTTATCTTTCTTAACTCTTATTGATGTCATTTAAACATGCTCTTTGTCATCTTATTCTTCTCTGAAATCCATAACGTTAATTATTGAACTTCTCCTTATGATGGTAGACTATTTCGCTTGCTCGCTAGACGATGTTTACCTTAACGCATGTTCTTTCTTTTATCGTTCTATCTTCGAAAACATTATAGCTATCAAAGGAAAAACAGAAAAGATACGTCATCCTCGTTATGACACGCATTTGAAAAAATATTTTGAAAAAATTTCAATTTGCGATTTCCTCATAGAAATGTTTCAAAGTATAGATTCACCCTTTTTGAATAACTAAGTGTACTTATATTCAATTGAATTGAATTATGAAGCGAATAGTAAACACGTGTCAGTTGTCCTTTCCTGTCTGTAATGACTCTATAAATACCTTTTTTTAAATCATGAATAATGGAAATTGTCATCATTATTGAAATCGTACGAATAATTTTTGCCGCAACTGAACAGATCACTGACTTATTTGATGAAGACAGATAAATATCAATAAAAGCGTTATAGAACATCAATTGACATACATTTGCACTGAGATCGATTAGTCTATCAACTCTACAGTGCTTACAACTTGCAGAAGACGATGTAACAATAATGCAGAAGAAGAAACTAGTAGGACATTAGATAAAGCGTCTTTTTCTTATTTCGTGGAAGAAATAAAACAGAAAATGAATAACATCATCGGAGGAAAAGAGAATGTGAGGGTGTGGATATGAGTGTGGCTATGGGTTTAGGGAAGATTCACATCCGCATACTGGCACCCTTTTTCGCTACATTTCAGTGAAAATTTTCTCTGTAGATCCATCTCAAAAAGTGTATTTTCTTTGAAGAAATCAGAAAAAACATACAAGAAAATCGGTAAGATAGGATTTGATGCACTGTTATCTTTTCATTCCAATGATGAAGATGGTAAGTCTACACATGCTTGCATAAAAAGTTATTCGAAAGGCATCTTTATGTCTTTTTTGTGCAATGAATGTTAGTAAATATGAACTGTTGCAATGGCTGGGACTAATTCCCTCACAAACTTTTTCTTGGTACTGCTATAATGCATGAGTTAATTGATTGTAATATATGGACATTGACAGCCGATAATTAAATTTCTTTTTTGGAAAGTATTTTCAAAGGTATTTGTATTATATATTTCTGGAAATCTCGTAGTCATGTTCCAGAATCCATCAGATGCGAAAATTTCGACGTCGAATCTGAACCATATAGTGTTAATACTTTCAATGAAACTTTTTAATATGAATTTTGAGGATCGCTAAGATAATATGAGATGATGTTTTCGATTATTTGTATCCAAAGACCATAACTATTCTTGCATATTTCTTAGTCAATCCTGACGATAATCTTATCATAATCCTTTTATAATCGAATCTTAATCTTGGAGTAGAGTCAACCACGGATTCGACGAACTTCATCACAATTGCTATGACATTTTATGTTTTCGTTTAATTAAATATGAAACTCTTCTACATCAAAAACAAATAAATATATGAAACAAAAGATAGAAAATTTCACAAAATAAAATATCATCTGTGAAGTTCATTGCCCCTTCTTTCCCAATTTTATCTTTTATCAAAGCAGCATATCATCTATAATACATTCTTCTAAACAAATAACACCAAACTATAATTTTTTATTAGATTAAATTAATATCAAGTTTTAGTGAGAGCAATGAAAACTTAGTTTCAATTTCGATAGTAGAATGTTTTTTCATTAATAGCTTCAATTGATCTTCAAGATTGACAAAATGTTAGCTTTTCAATCCTATTATTATTTACTGACATATCTAGATTATAATTTCTGGTTCAATAGTCTCAACTAATCACAAATAGAATTTAAGAATATACGGGAGAAAACAACATCAGATGTATGATTTGTATACGTTGGTCAACGTATAATAAAATAGACAAACAGATAAACATACACTCTTTTCTCTTTGATCTTTTACACTTATATATTACTATCAAACATTCAAACATCCGTTATTTTAGAGCATAATCGATTGAACATGTCATTAAGAATTTGGAAACATTCTAAAGCTACATCACAATCAGAACTTCGTCCTTATAACAGTATTACTAAAAGCAAAGTAAACGGAACAATAATACCTTTATTGGATCTATTGAATTGTTTTTTTAGGAATGTTTTGAACCAGTTTGTCAACGAAAAGTTATATGGTGGCATTATGTCCATATTGTTCGAGAGCACCAATAGATTGATCATGTTCGGTATTCAATTCAACTTGTATATTTTATCTAATTTTTTCTATTTTAAGATCGTACATATCCTTTGATATTCTGCGTCGTGTTCTATCAGCTTATTTTGGTTACAAGGTCCAGTATTATATGAATATTACTGACATGGACGATGAAGTAAATTTTCTTATTGTTCAATTCTTATATCTGATATTAATTCTTTTGAAGATGATTGAACGAGCTCGAGAGTATCTTTTTGAAGCACATATGTATATCCATTCTATTACATTCAAAATAATCGTTGAACATTGTCAATTACATTGAAAGTAAAATTAGATGAACTTGACAAAAACAAGTTCAATTGATGTTTTCTCTATCTCAATCATTCATCTGATGTGGAAATTAAACGACACGTAAATATTCAGTTGAATAGATTTAATGCATTAAATAAAATCGACTTGTGTTTTTTTTATAACAAATTATTTGATGAATGTTGTGATATTCTTGCAACATATTTGGATTTCAATTATTCTCATATTAGAGAGTCAACTTACATAAAATTAGTTAGTCAAAATATTCGCCCAACCATTGACTTTGTTCAAAGAATTCATGGCAGTGGTTATCCCTATATATCTAATTCGTCAGTGTATTTCGATGCATTTAAATTCGATAAACAACGTACATGTGCTCAACTAGAAGCTGATCGAATGGATAATGTGGCTGCTTTAAGTGAACGTGAATGTGTATTAACCACATCGGATATGACCGATAATGGAAAGAAAAACGAATGTGACTTTGTTTTATGGAAGACAAGTATACCGCGTATGTGGCCATGATCATGGGATCTTGGTAGACCAAGTTGTAACATTGGATGTAGTGTCATGGCTAATACCCTATTAGGTGAGAATCAATGTCATAAAGGAATGTTTTTCATAAACAATGCAAATCAATTCTTTATTTTCTAGATTCACATTTCGACATTCATACCGGTGTTATCGATGTTGAATTTCTTGCTCGTCTTACGGAAAGAAGTCATTTGGAATTTACTAATTCATGGTTGTCTTATTTTCATCGTGGCTGGCACTTGAACTTTCCAAAATGTCAAAATCATCAAAAAATTTTATTACATTTGAACAAGCACTTAAAAAATATGATTTTCGACAACTCCGATTATTATGTCTGTCACACTCATGGTCATTTACTTTAAATTATAGTGATCATGAAATGAACAAAGCTGTTATTTATGAAGTAATGCTTAATGATTCTTTTTTTCATGACGTCAAAACACATTTAGGTGTATTTCAAGTATCAAGTAATGCAAATGCTGTTACAAAATTCGACGAACATGGTCGAACATTCAATGAACATTTCTCAACAAGTAAATAAGAAATTATTTATGCTCTATGTGACTCAATAAATACACCTACATTCATGGAGACTATTCAGCAACAAATCTCGAAAACAAGTATGTATATGGATACAAATAATGCAAATGATAATCGTCTTCTCTTGCGAGATATTGTCAATTGTATAACAGGTTTAATCAATATTTTCGGTTTAAAGTTATTTGCACTGTCAGCAAATAATATTGATCTTAATCTATAGGATACAGAACGAAAACCAACAGTCAAGTTAGAATATTTTGAATCACTCAATTATTCGGCGTTTTTTTTCCAATGTATTAGGTGATACAAATAAAGCGACAATAAAATTTTCTAATCCATAAATGTTACAACGTGAAGAAACATTGTTGGTTAAAAAAAATAAACACGAGAAAAAAAAGAGCGACAAACATTTGAACAATTAGGTAAAGAAACAAAAGACGCGAAGAAAAAAAGATACAGTATATGAATGTTTGATTGATTATTCTATGGCAATAGTGTGTTGATCTTTTTTCTCTTTCAGAATTCCTAATTCGAAAAATGTAGAAGAAAAAAGTGCTACTGATGGAGCAGCAGCAACTAATGATGATTGATCATATGCATACGAACTATTGAGATTTTATTTTAATTTTCTTGTTATTCTTTTTTTGTTTTGATAGTTGACATTCGTATATCTATTTTTTGCAATAAAGTAAACAAGAGCCTATATTATGTTCAAATACCTTCTCGACGATCAAAATTTAAGCATCACACATATATTCAGTTGTTTCTTTCGTTTTTCTACGATTGTTCAATACAGTCAGCGTATAAATACGAACGTCTAGCACGATTAAACACTTTACTCTCAAGAATTACTAAATATTTCGTTCGTCATCATCATTGGTCCATTTCTATTAGTTTATGTGCTTCATATTAAATATATGTCTTAGTAAAACTGGCCTGATTGTTGTATTCAGAGATTGAATGTTATATACATGAATTATTTGGAATATGTAGAGATTTTTACACCTTATCAATTACTCCAAATAAATGATTGTAATCATGATTACATGGGGGTGTGGATGTTGCTCTTCTGAAAGGAAACCCACACCCACACCCTAAAAATAAGGTTAATGATGATACATGAATTTGTATTGATTACACAAGTGCTTGATTTCTTTGCCCATGCTACAATTGTATGTAAATGAGACATTTATTTTATTATGTTCAACTTGGACTTTGGTAGATAAAAGCGACCATTGCGGTCTGCTCACAATTGTTTTTGTTCTCAATTTAGTGAGAATATCCCTATTTGATACATTTCCCTAAATATTTGAGACACGATCATAAGGAGCATGGTCAATCATTCTTTGATCATTTCTTTTCAACGATGTAAAATATAGATGAAAGTCAATATAACGTTGTTGAGCAGTATTTTCAGATGTTGATACTTGAAAATACGCTAATTTGTCAGTCATGAAGCGAGTCAATAGTTGTAAGAACGAAGAAATAATTTTCACATGACGATATACACAGATAAAATTGACTTTTTTTACGTTGTTTCCTTTTTTAAAGTTTGTCTCTGACATCGAACTAAAAGAATCAGAATTAGATCACAAATTTGAAAGACAAACCAGAATATTGAGTCCGTTTCTATAAGATGAAGCCAAAAGATACAATCCTATGTTAGAATTGAATGAAAAAAAATCACAATCATCAAATTCGTAGAATGGATGATAAATCTATTTCAACAATTGCATAGAATTCTCTGAATAAATATGGATTCGATTCAGTCACATTGTTTTCAGGAAGATCAACGAACAAAATTTAGGATAAAGTTTGAAATATTACATTAGTATTTTTACCTTCTTTTTTCTGTAAAAGAAACAAAAAAGCTTTTAAAAGTCTATTTTGTTTTCTACATTTAAATGTCCTCATGCACACCTGTGATGACATGTTTTTTTACAAAATGAATTCATTATTCTTCCTTAAAAAGTTTATCAATAGTCTGTTGGGCTTGGAAATGAGAGAGACATCTCAGTTTAATCAATAGAAAAATACTAGATATTGTAATATACGAAAACATACCAATCCCCGCTCCAATTAACACAAGGGTGTGGATGTGCGTATGAATGTGGGTGAGGGTGCAGGTGTGAGTATGGGTATGAGTGTGAATGTGGGTTTAAGTATTAGTAAGGATATCACCCATACCCACACCCAGATCCATACCCACCCTAGTTGTCTAGAGTATATATGACCTGAAAATTCTATAAGAAAGTCGTATGGGAATAGCGTCTGACACCACCGTGACTAATTCGTTGAGCTCTATCGACTGGGCTATCTCTCATTCGAATCCGTGATTACCACTTAGGAAGATTCTCTCGTTAGTCTGTATTGGCCGCAAAAAACCAAAGAATACAATGCAAAGATCGAAACCATGAGTACCGATGACGTAAGTGATGGTTAGGCTTTGACAAAAGCTTCTATTTTGCTGGAGTGCACACTAAGACAGAACAACTCTTTATTTTTTCTGCCTCCTTGCTTGTTTTCTCAATGCTTTTCACTTATTTCGTCTTTTTTTTATCAGTCACTGTGAAATACACTTATGTATTGTAATAGCTTATTTCATTGTCACCTTGACCCTCAAATGAAATTTGTATTTGATTACTTTAAGAATCAATCTTTTTTTGTTAATTTCAAATAAATAAGGAAAGGTATGTAAAGCGATAAAGAAAGAAAAACTAAACTCAATACGCGCTTTTTTTATAATTTGTTTTTAAGAAAAATTTCTATTGATGGCATAAAGTAAATTTGACAAGTTGATCAAATATAAATGAAACGAAATTGACAAAAGTATTTATCCTTAAACGAATGACTTCGTCATTTTGAATAAAATCATAATTTTAAAGTCTTACTTTTTTTTATCTAATAAAAAATTCTTTGATTGGTATTATAATTAAAAATGTCTTCTAAAACAAATATTTTCTATATAATATTGATTGGATTTATAATATTATTAAACATTGATAGTTCGTCATCAGACCACGAATCACACCATGATGATCATCATGATGAAAGAGGTAAGTTTTTTTTATATTATTTTAACACTGATTTTATCTATAATATCACTGGTGGATTTTAAACAACGAAGGATCGGTCATTTTTCTCTTCAGAAATTGTTTTTCGATGTTTTCTGTTGAAAAACAAATAAAAAACAGTTAATTGTACCTCGAATGAGTCTTAAATAGGATTTTTTTTTGTCTATAATCATTTCTTCTACAGTCAAAATATCTGATCTTCACTTTCCAAAATGGTAGATCAAACATTGTAAAATAAATTCTATGAAATAAAAAAACTTGATTTATTAAAGATCATTCGGCATATTAACATTCATTCTACATAGGAGCTCAATGTTTTTCTGGTGATTCATTAATTAAATTATCAAATGGTGAATATAAAGAAATTGGTAATCTTCAATCTAGTGATGAAATAATAACTATTGATCAATCAAAAACAATTTCAACAGAAATGATAATGATGTTAGATAAACAAATTTCAAAACAAGGTATCTTATTTATAATTATTAAGAATTATATATATACATAATAATGTTATTTTAGCATTATTTTATACGTTAAGAACAGATTCTGGTAATGAAATAAGTTTAACAGAATATCATTTAATCCCAACAATAAATTCAAATGGAAATGAAAATTATTTATTTGCAAAACAAATTAAAATAGGAGATTATTTATTTGTTCTATTTAATGGAAAATTAAAATATTCTCCAGTAATAAATATAACAATTGAAATGAAAAAAGGTTATTATGCTCCATTAACAATGAAAGGTACTTTATTAATAAACAATGTTTTAGCAAGTTGTTTTGCAAATGTTAACAATCATCATTTAGCACAATATTATATGACACCTTTTCATTATTATTATAAATTTGCTCGATTTATGTCTTTATATGATCCATTTAATATTAATAAAACTGAAGGTTTACATTGGACAGTTAATATTATGCTTTACTTCGCACGTTATTTTAGATTAGATGCATTATGTTTATGATACAATCATATTTTTGCTCTAGATTTAACAATTATGTTTTACTTTTTTTGTTGTCTAAATAAAATAGTTCGCCAATTTCATTTTCCGATCATTCAGCAAATCTATGATCATTGTTCTCCTTTATTCATTATTTTATTAAGTTATTTAAAGATATAAAAGTGAACGATATCAACAATTAAGATGTGCAAATGATGTGAGAGAAAAAAATCTATATTAGACGACTCCAAAGGAGTTTCTTACTGTTGTTGTGTTGCAATATCATTGGATACAGTGCGTTTTCTTACACTCAAATTGATTAAGATTCAAAACGATTTATTTAACTTTCTTGATAAGTAACAATTTAACATAAGCCATTAAAAAGGATAATATGGCCATCAATATCAAAGCAAAAAAGTGTTTTCACATACTTCACTCCGATGCACGATCGATAGATCGTTCCTGTAAGACGCCATTGCCTGAGAGAGGATATACATTGATATGATTGGTCAGACAGAATTGCAGATTGCGAAACTGGTTGACCATCAAGATATTGGAAGCATAACGAAAGGCGCTTATCCATTGAATCCAACGGAGAACACTGAGTACACTATTCAATTCGACAAGAAAATCATTGAATACCATCATGATGATAAAAACCAGAACCAGAACGATCAAAGCCACGGCTAAACAGTTTTCAAAAGATCTCTGAAAATGTTTTATCTTTCGGCAAAATCTTATCAAAAACAGAGATGCTTGCTGCAATAAAGAAACACATGGCTGAGCCGAATAGATTAGCCATGAAGATAGTAAGAAGAAAGACGAAAAACTGTCTAGCAGTTCGTTGCAAACAAGTCATAAAATAGCAAGTCAAACTGGAGACTAGTGAAGGAACAACACGCATTGGTAGAAGATTGCGCACTAATTTGGCTAGAAACAAGGTCGAAATATTATAGTAACCACTGACATTTTCCTGAACAAACAAAAATCTACATTTTTGAAACGTGTTTTCAATCAAAGTTGGTTGACTTTGCTACTTTCATCAAAGAAACAATGCTCGTTCTTTGATGAATGGTTCAAATGCTGTGGCAGTACTAAAAATTTGATTAACAATGATGAAGAAGATGCCTCCTAAACGATTTTTCACGCCTGAACCCGTCGTTTGAGGTATTTTACTATAGAGAAGATCAATGAGCAGACCAAGAATAACAGCAACAGGGTGTGGGTGTGGGTGTGGGTGTGGGGTGTGAGTATGGGTGTGGGTGTGGATGTGGGTATGGGTGTGGGTGTGGGTGTGTGGGTGTGGGTGTGGGTGTGGGTATGGGTGTGGGTGTGGGCGTGAGGGCGTTGAATAGAAGAGAGACACCGATACCTACACACCCACACACCCACACCCACACCCGCAGCAAGCTTTTTTCAATTCGAAAGAACGCTCAGGTACTGAAAACTAATGTCGACGCCAAAAGTAAATGGTGAAAACTCTGCGAGGAATATCTCCCGAACAGATACAGCTAGCGCCCTGCAGTTTTCACCAATCGAAAGGGGAGGAGTGGGGCGTCTTTTTCTTCGATAATGTATAAGACGAAATCCTTTTAAAACTAATCATAGTCGAAGAACATACAAAAGAACCCATGAAAATGACCTGTCAGCTAGATGAAATTTTGATTTTGACCTTTGATTTAGATAGAGAAACTTGAGAACTATAATTCCAGACACAATGCGCTTTCCTACTTTTTCTTACATTTTCATCGAAATCTCAAGCTACTATCATAGAAAGTGCGAAAACTTAGCAAAATATTAGCAAAATTCTCTATTATTTGCCCATGTAAGTACATGATTCCATTTGCACAACGTTAGAATGTAATAAGACAACCATTTGCGTTGTATCTGGAGCTATAGATCTCAAGTCCCTCTATCTAAATCAAAGGTCACAATCAAAATTTCATCTAGCTGACAGGTCATTTTCATGGGTTCTTTTGTATGTTCTTCGACTATGATTAGTTTTAAAAGGATTTCGTCTTATACATTATCGGAGAAAAAGACGCCCCCCCCCCTCCTCTTTTGATTGGTGAAAACCGCAGGTTGCTAGCTGTATCCATTTGGGAGATAGTCCTCGCAGAGTTTTCACCATTTACTTTTGGCGTCGACATTAGTTGCTGACTTGAATCGTGACTCATGCGTCGAATGGAAGAGGAAGAATTTTCCATGACAACTAAACGAATGAAAAGCAATAAGTCGGCTGCTGCATTTCATGCAGTCAGCCACTTTAAAGAAAACTCGTGGCGAACCACAAGAAGGATGCTTCGTGCCTTAAAAATACTTATTCCTTTGATAGTACTTGTAATGGTTATGTGTTGTCATAAGGAAAAACCAAAAAATTAAGGAAAGTTTTATTTCAAAAAATCAATCAAATTCATATTGTTTTCAGAATTTATTAATCAGAAAGTAAAGTGATCAAGAGAAAACTTTAATCATGAAGGTTTCTCTCATATCAATATATCTTTTTTCCTTCATCGAATTGAACAAACAAGAAAAATGAACCACGAAACAACAACTTCTTTTCTCAAACATCTACCTCGAATATATTTGAGAAAGTTCAATATTCATTCGACTTTTTATTAAAGAACTAAATCAGTCACAAAAGTTGTTCAATCGTAAAAACACCTATGAAACAATTATCTTTAAAAAGAAACGCAGATTAAAAAAATCTCTTGAAATGGTCTATTCCGTTTAATAAACAAGGAGACAATTATTTTTAATTCGAACTTTCATATAGTTTAGAAATTCATATTGTTTCATTATCGTTTTTTCTTTATTTAAGTTCGACCAGATTATAAAGAATATTACGATGACATTTTAATTCTACAATGGCTGAAGTCTCTAAAAACATCTAAATCGATTGGTATATACATACAAATAAAATGATTATATACGAAAAAATAAATTCATCATATAATTCTTTGCTTTAGCTCAACATGTAGCTATTTTTGAACAAAATCTTTGTCAATTGGTCGAAGAATTAAAAGAATTTACCTTTCTCGATATTTATGGTGAAATTCATTATGAAAAAATTGAACCTTATCGTTTAATGGTTCAAGCTCGCTTTCCTAATAGTCGAATAGATGTTGCAATATCAAGATTTCGTCTTTGGCTTTAATTTTCTGTTTGTTATATGTAACATATATGTGTTAAAAACAATTATTGTAGTTAATGATTTATTTTTTTTTCTACTTGTCTCTCTTTAATATTATAAACTGTAAAATACTTACATTCAATAATGAAATGTTAATATTGTTATCCAAATAATATCTGGTTGTTTTCTGAAGAATTCTAATGGCATAACTAGAGAGAGACTGGAAGCAGAGGCGGATCCACCGTCGTGCCGTTGGGGCAGTCATCCCTTCATTTGGAATTGATTTTGTGCTTATTTTTAGCGATTTTTCTTCGAAACTTTGTATTTTCATCACATCCGTCCCTCTTTTTGCTAAACCGCACCCCCTTCAAAAATTCCTAGATATGCCACTAACTAGTTGGAACCCAACTTAACTTACCCTGTCAACATTCGAGCTTCTCTCGAAAACTTGGAAACTACTGCCATTGCAGATGTAAGTGTCCTTGGAGGAGATTTCAAAGGAATTGAACATTTTCGTCCTACTGTGAACAGAAAAGGCGTCAAACGAAATTCTTTTAATTAGTTGAACTATCAACTTAATATTTTATATACACACAGATAACGTTTAAATTGATTATCTATGCTTCCCGAGTCTCTCTCTTACTCGAAAACTTTCGGAAAAATGAAGTTTTCGACTTTCAAAAAACTGCAAATCTATATATATAATGTTCAGTGTCTGTCTGTGTGTGTGTGTGTTTCTCTGCGGGATTAAAGGACAAACGTCAAAGGTGAAAGGTCAAATAAGACTATAAGGGAAGGTCCTCAAGGGCTATTATATGGAACTACCCATAGGTCTTCAACAGCTATTATATATACAGGACTATCCATAGGTACTTAATAGCTATTATGGGTAGGAGGAGGGTACCTATAAGTCCTCAAGGCCGATTATATGGGGTAGCCACAGGTCCTCAAGAGCTATTACATGAGGGTACCTATAAATCCTCAAGAACAGTTATACGGGGATACCTATAAATCATCAAGGGCTATTGTATGGCATATCTATAGAACATGAAGAGCTATTGTATGATATATCTATAGGATATGAAGAGCTATGATATGGAGATAGGGTGGGTGTGAGTGTGGGTGGTGTGGGGCGTGAGTGTGGATGGGTGTGGGTGTGGGCTGTGGATGAGTGTGGGTGAGTGTAAGTGTGGGTATGGGTGGGTGTGGGTGGGTGTAGTGTGGGTGGATGTGGGTGCAGTGTGGGTGGGTGTGGGTGGGTGTGGGTGTGGATGCAGGTGAAGAGAAGATCTACAACCACGTACCTTCACGCACACCCACACCCACCTACACCCATCCGCACCCACATTCACACCGACCAACACCCACACACACCCACACTCACACCCACACACATCCACATACACCCACCCACACCATCTACACCCACACCCACCCACACCCCACACCCACACGCACACCACCCACACCCCATCCACACCCACACACCCACAGCCACTAAAGAATATTTCACAATGCGAATATCTGGACTATAAAGTGTACTAAATCACACCAAATATGATTACTTGGCAGTTCTTAATAGGAACTTAACTTAGCAGAATAAAAGAAGTTCCTCATAAAATGCTACTATTTCATAAAATCAAATAGAAAAAAATTAGACGTTTTGGTTTTTCAGCATATCCGTGAAGGTCAGTTTTTTAAGTTGAGTTTTCACTATTGAACTTGTAATTTGTTCACCTCTTTCGCAATAAGATTCTTGATCAATGTAATCATAATCGATGTTTGATGGCAATAGATGAGAACACGTGATTACATTATTATCCGTAAGAGATACTTTTTCTTATTTATTTATGAAAACAATCATATAGTTGACTGTTCGTGAGAAGAGAAGAATGTATATGAAAAATAACCGAACTCGATCATAAGAAGGAGACCAGATGTGTCTTGAGTATCACAAATTACGATAGATGAGTACCAAATTAGATATATGTGAAAAGAGCATCAAACGAAAAAAATATATAAAAGTGATCAAATATACGTTAAGCGAATTGAGTTTGCCTTATATATGTATACAGCTAGTAAATTGTGATAAGGTCAACTCATATAGACTAATCTCACGATAATTAATAAATTGTGGGACACAAAGGAATATCGGTGGGTGTGGAGATGGATCTAGAGTATCCAGCCCGACTCCCTCATCCATTCTTTCATCCACACATTCACCTACGCTCTCATCCACATGTTAATGTTGTTTCTTTTCGTAAAAGATACTATTTTGTGTCCCACATCACATATAATTAACACGATGCTCAATTGTCTTAATTTGTGGTGCTCGAAACACATTTCTTCCATAAGGAATATTTTTTTCCACATGCTGTAAACATACGTCCATTAATTGCATTTTATACTATTCAACTATAGACCGCCTTGAGCGTCATAAAGAACAGAAAAAAAAACAGAAGCGAAGCTGAGAAATGTACATTTATAAAAATAAAAAGTATAAACAAGATACAAGAGCTACAAAATCACCTATTCGGGAAAGGAGTCTTCTAATCTGTCTTTTGGGTTGTTTATTTAAGGAGGTCTTCTAATGTGTTGGGGGTTTTAGGCCATATGTCAGCAACTCTATCGTTGTCTTCGTAAAGTAAAACTCAATTATTAAATAATTCATCAATAGTTCAAAATACAATCTTTGTTCTTCATAGTTCGTTCTGCACGCGACGTTTTTTATATATTTTACCCATTTCAATCTAGTTACTGAATAAATAGCTTGACTGAACATGTAACCAATGGATCGTGATGAGCACAAAATAAGCGAATCAGATAAATAATTATTTATTTCTACTACACTGCGCTTTATGTAGAATTATTCAGCATTTTATTTAAAAAAAAATTAAATAACATCATCTTGGTCAATTGAAAAAAAGTTTCTGTTCGTATATTCATATTTCTATTCCCTAGACTGAAAGGATAGGGTCTAGAAACCGAAATTCGCCTGACTCTGTCTGTAACACTTGGTACAAGGGACCACTTTCGTGGTACAAAGTACCATAGTCGTGGTACAATTGACTATTTTCATGGTACAAAAGTATCATTTTGGTGGTACAGGCGACCATTTATTTGACGCAATTGACCATTTTCATTATATAATTGACCGTTTTTGTGGCGTAATTCATCATTTTCATGACACAATCAACCATTTCTATGGCACAGTTGACCATTCTTACGGTTCAAATGAGCGTGTCTGTGTCAAAATTGGCCATACCCGTATTAGAAATGGCCATTACTTGGACATAAATCACCATTTTTTTATCGTTATAATTAACTAAAGCATCAACTTTATCATATACATTAGCATCTTTCAATATTTTATGTCAACTATCTCAATATATCGATAGTATGTAATATTAGACATGTTACAAATAATAATAATTTCTCCTAAACTCATCATTATACAGAGTTCATTTTTATTTAAAAATATAAGGACATCTTTGTCATCATTCCGTCAGTCTAGTGCCAGATGAATCGACATTGAATGTCGATGAACGTTAATTGTTTTTATTATTACGAGAGAAGATATTATTTAATAATATGTGATATGAAAGACTGACAAGAGCATTCGAGGCTCAATAAAAAAATTAGCTAGAAGTGATTTCCTGTATGCATATAAATTAGTTTTGTGGTGCCTCAAAACTTATGAAACATCCTGTATGTATTGCATTCTGTTTCTAATGGCGGGTCCAGGACTTCACAGTATCCTGGATCTCAATTTCACAGCATGGGACTCAGATGAAACTTATGGGGGGACGATATTGGATTCAAATGATGAGTTTTTATCGAAAAAGTTTTGTTATCGGAGTTTGCCAAAAAAAAATTTTGTTCCTGATCCCCCAGGATTTTTCTTTTGCTGTTAGTAGTATTCTGTCTTTTAGAAATTAATAGTAAGCTATATCGAATTTCATCGACAGATTTCAAATCTCATCTAAAAATATTGATCTGTTCAAGAGTTATAATGTTTTTTTGGCTACATGTTGCTAAAATTTTAGCAAAGATTCAAAACGTTGTAATTCTTGAACCGATAAATATTTTTAGATAAAATTTGCAATCTGTCGATGAAATTCGATGTAGCTTACTATTAAATTCTAAAAAACGGAATACTAATAACAGCAAAAGAAAAATCTTGGGGGCTTAGGAAAAAAATTTTTTTTCGCAAACTTCGATAGCAAAACTTTTTCGATAAAAACTCATCATTTGGGTCCAATATCATCCCCCATCAGTTTGATCTTGGTTCTATGCTCTGAAGTTGAGATCCAGGATGCTGAAAAATCCTGGATCCGCCAATACCTGCTTCAATCTTTGAAGTAACAGATTTTTTTTCATCATTCATCTTATTAATTTGGAATTCTGCTAATGCTTTAATAGCGATAAAAGTTTCTTAATCAGATTCAGTCTTATTATAACAAGCTATTGACTACATTCCTTAGTGAGTAAATTCAGTATCGTAATGCTTGGTGACATATGGCTAAACCCAATAGCATCTTCTAAGGCACAAAGTCAATAACACCGTATGAATGTGTTCTTGTTTCTTGTGACGAACTATTAACAAGTCGTAAATGTCGTCACTTTTTGAGTACGTCAATTTTAAACCATTTGCTTGAGAATGTGTGATAATCTATCAAAAGGAATCTGGAAATGATAAGTCTGAATGCATTGGAGAAACAATAATCTAAATAACAATTCGTTTATCATAATATTATGTTAGTTTGACATTTCAAAGTCAATACAAAAACGATGTCTTTCTTAGCTTCAAATTAGTATAATGAACTCTATTAATATTAAATCTCTACAAAAGACAAGTTTTTATTTATTGACACATTGTATTGATCATTTGATTGTCTCCGTATGTCATATATAGCATAAGCGAGTTTTCAAACTGGATATGTGACTTCTCTCACTTAAGAAGACTTAAAAGAATGTCGTTTTGTCACGATAATTATAATTAAGTGGAATGTTTCAAATAAAAAAAAACACATATATGTCATTGACTAGCACATCATTGGCTAATTTCAGTTAAATAGATGTCTTATCACATTCTGATTATGAGATCATCGTCTCACAAAATGAGAGCTTTAGATGTGCACGTCTAGAAAGAGAAAAAAAATATAGAGAAAAAAAGTATAGAGAAAAAAAATATAGAGAAAAAAAGTATAGAGAAAAAAAATATAGAGAAAAAAATATAGAAAAAAAAACTTTTGACAAACCACTATATAAGTGCTTCTCACCTTTAAAAACTCGCATCAGTCTACGTAGGTATCATACTTCGCGTCACATTAATTAATCGAACTTTTGATTAGAAGTCTAGTTCTAAAAAGACTTTAACCTTGGTCTAATATAGTGAATTTCTGGAAGCACCAATTGCTTATTCAAAAAGGTAGAAGTGTATGTTTTACATATTTTTAGTATTAAAATGTGATTGCTTAGATATTTCTGAAGAAGACATTTTAGAGTCGGTTATGAAAATTTAATATCTACTATTGATCTAAGATGATTTAACTTGTGTACTTCAAGCAAAAAGTTCTATATAGATGCTTTGAGTACCCTCAAGATATCGTCTACTTTCAGAAAATATTGCAGATTAACAATACATAATGATATCCATGTTTTTTGTCATGTCTTTTTAGTACAACAGTGTCCTATATTTTAAAAGAGAAAGATGTCCCAAGTGCATGATGACGAGTCTCTTGTCAAATTATTAAACAACATTACAGCTCAATGCAACCGTTTTCTGGCGGTTTTTATTTTTCTCTTTGGTGTTGTCGGAAACATTCTTAATATGCTTGTTCTCTCTCAACGATCTTATCGTTCTAATTCGTGTGCTTGGGTTTTTCTGGCTTTATCCATTGTTAATCTTATTTCTCTTATATCTGGCCTTATCACAGTAATGATCGGTGGTTGGACAGATAATCCAGCCAATTATATTGGAGTGGTTTGCAAACTTCGTGCTTTTCTTGTATTCTCAACAAGAACCATGGCTATGTGGTTAATAGTATTAGCCACTGTTGATCGATGGCTTCTATCAAGTATTGATGCTCATCGTCGACAAAAAAGCTCATTGAAGAATGTTCAGCGATGGACAGTAGTCATTGTCATTCTTTCACTTCTTCTCTATGCTCAACAATTGTATTGCTATGACGCCAATCGCATGGATACTCCTCTAAAATGCTATGGGACAACAAATGTATGCCGTAATTTCACTGATTTATCACTTGTTATAGTTACAGTCACAATTCCTTTAATTCTTATGGTTTTATTTGGTTTATTAATAATTTCAAATGTACATCAATCTCGACGTCGCATTCAAATATTAACATTACAGAATGCCAAATCTACTATGGATAAGTCGTTGCCAGCAAGTACTGGAGATGCAGATGGAAAATCCAAGCAGAAAATAGAACATAGTCTTCTTCGAATGCTTTTTTTTCAAGTTATTCTTATGACTATTTTCACTATTCCATTATGTCTTGACAAATTTTATTCATCATTCTCTGGTGACAATGGATCTAAAGTAGAAATGGCCATTAATATGTTTGTATACGATTTAGCCATTTTGATTTATGATATATCGAATGGCATACCTTTCTATATTTATACATTGTGTGGTGGAACTGTATTTCGAAAAGCATTGCATAATTTTATTATATCGATGAAACTAAAATTTAGATGTCATTAGAGTTATGTATTTTCAATGTATAAAAAATATTTTCGTAATAAATTGTCAATCACTCCTATATATTTTATTTTGATCTTTCTCTTCTACTAACATTGCTTTCATTCAGAAATTGTAATTTACACAAAACAATTGATTTTGCTTTTCAAGTTAATTCGATTAGATCATATCAAGTAAATTAATTTTGAGTTTCAAAAGCCTTGTTGATTAATGTATGTTGGAAGAAATATAGAAAAGTTTCGAAAGAATTTTGATCCACAAATGATAACTGTGAATTCTCATAGCATTAATCATTTGATTTATTTACTTATTGACTAATGTATTACATCATAGACACAAATAGTGGATCTAAGCCTTCCCCGTATTTCTATTGTATCCTTCGTATTTATGTCGCAATCTCGAATACTCGGAAGCTCCTATTCACGATAGGACATGGGTACGAAGAATACTGGGATCTAGTTTCTTTCCTTGGATAAATCATTTATCGTATTTTTTTTGGAAAATCTGATTGATATTATGCATATAATTGAAATTTCCCTGTAAACTTGTTAGTGTATAACTTGTAACCAAATACCTATGTTCTAGTTTTCTCATGAAATGAAAAGAGATGACTCTAAACAATGACACATAGATACCGATGTTACACTTCTGTGAGACAATCACATCTTATGAAACCATTTTCATTATCTATTCCACAAGCTGAAGAATGGAACAAATATTTCCGCCATATTCTTTAGAAATTATTTAAAAAATTTGTCAATATAGCGCATAATCTTTGATTTTGTGCGTTTTGAGGATTCTTTTATTACATATCATAATTCTCAGATGCGTTAAATAGGATTTTTTTTCGATTTGTTTTATATTTCATTCTGTTTTCAAGAATGTTTTAAATATAAGTACAGTTTAGCCATTATTTATTATCTTTTAGTTAATTTATTCGACGATTCATGGTTTTCGTACATTTTCTTTTATTGTAAATTAATTGAATACATATATAGGGAGTTTCATAAGTTTTGAGGCGCCACAAAATATAGTTTATATGTAGATGAAAAATAACCCTTAATTGAATGTTTCCTATATGAGCATTGAGTACTCGTGTCAGTCTTTCAAATGACGTATTATAGGATAATATTTTCTTTTGTAATAATCAAAATAAAAACATAAGAATGTGACGATAAATTTTTCGCAATCGGTGAACAAAATATTTTATTAAAAAAACGAAAATCACTATTTTATAAATACATATATGAATCTGATTAGACAAAAATCTCATTTAACTATTATATATTTGTTGTCCACCATTTTTTATTAATTGGCTAAGTCTTTTTAAAATTTCATGAATCATTATTTGACAATCATTACAAGGTTTTTTTTCGCTCTTTGTTTAATGTAGTTTGATGTTGTTTAGAGCTTGAAAACTGCTCTGCTAGCAATTTTTTCTTTAATATTCCACATACACTTATAGTAGTTCATACGTCAGCAACTCCATCGTTGTCTTCGTAAAGTAAAACTCGATTATTAAATAATTCATCAATAGTTCAAAATACAATCTTTGTTCTTCATAGTTCGTTCTGCATGCGACGTTTTTTATATATTTTACCCATTTCAATCTAGTTACTGAATAAATAGCTTGACTGAACATGTAACCAATGGATTGTGATGAGCACAGAATAAGCGAATCAGATAAATAATTATTTATTTCTACTACACTGCGCTTTATGTAGAATTATTCAGCATTTTATTCTAAAAAAAAATTAAATAACATCATCTTGGTCGACTGAGAAAAATTCATCCTCGCATATTCACATTTATATTTTTATTATAACAAGAGAAGATATTATTTAATAATATGTGATATGAAAGATTGACACGAGCATTCAAGGCTCATATAAAAAAAATTAGCTAGGAGGGATTTACTGTATGCATATAAATTAATTTTGTGGCGCCTCAAGGCATCCCATGAAAAAAAAATTTGTATAAAAACGCGTTCCAACGCAAACTTTCAGAGAAAAAACGCTGTTTTTGCGTTTAAACGCATCTTATTTTGTCTGAGACGCATCTAAACGCATCGTTTTCGTTTACAACGCGTTTTTTCAACTTAAAATGCTACCTAAAAACGTCGTTCGAACATGTTTTATTTTATTCGTTACGACGCGTTTATTTGTTATGCATCTTGATACGTTTTTTTTATTTCTTTCGCTGAAAAGATGATCTCTTTACAAATGCACCTAAACGCATATTTTTCAACGTGCTTTTTTACTGCAAAACGGTTTTCCTAATAAAGGTTTTCGAGCTTGTATTTCAATTCATGCATTTTCTTGTAAAAATGAGGCTTTTACAAGCACTACGGAATGGATTTTTACATATGGATGGCAAAGAATACATTCAAAATAGGCGTGTCAATTTTTTTTCTTGTACTTTCATTTGCAGATAAGCTGAATTATACAAAAATATCTTTAAAAATAAATATAAATTATTATCATTTATATTTGAAATAAATTAAATATTTTTATTTCGAAAATTTTATATTTTCGTAAGTCGAATTTTTTTCAAGTATAAGTTAAAACAAGAATATTTATATATATTAAAGTATAAAATATAATAAATTAATTTACTAAAATTTTAAATCAAAAAAATCCAGTCTATTTTTTCATATAAATTATAAAAAATTACGTATCTCAATTTTTTTAAATAATAGGAAAAGACAGCCCGAATTTTATAACTTCTTGTAGAAAATTATTTCTTAATTTAAGTAGAAAATTCAACAGTTTCACAAATGCACAAGTATAGTCTAGTGGTATATTCTAAACTTCGTAATTACAAGTTCTTCTGGTCGAATCTGCTCTACGGTAACAAATAGATGCGTTGCAACGCGTTCAATATGAACTACAGCTACATTAGATTGATAGGAGAATATTTTTCCAAAGGAGATACGAGTTCTGTAAAAGTGCCTTGCAGACAATGATTGAGTTGAAAATAAAATTTTTTTTCAAAAATTTTAGGTCTTCGTAGTCCTATGGAATGCTTTTTGTTACTTCAAAAAAACGCTTTTAAAGTCTAGAGAAAACATGCGAGCTAATAAAAAAACGTGTTTCGACGCAAAATTTTATAAAATTTTTTTTTCATGGGTTATGAAACATCCTGCATGAGCAAAATCAAGCAAAACGGGACATATTCCCCTTTCATTTGCCTGTGATTCTGTGCAAGGATTATTTATCTCAATCGATTCTTTTAGCATAGATCTATGTAAAAGTGTTGACTCTTTCACCAGACTATTAATTAATATTAATTATTTAACTAAAGGTAGCTAGCAAATATCTTTCTAACCATACGAAAAAAATGCTCGTTAACGCAGTTCTTTTACGAGCTGAAATGCGGAACTCACCAATTTTCTTAAGCCCGACAGTACTAATATAAAATATGTAAAGTGAAAAATCTCTGGTACATTATAATTCGTTTCCAAGATAAGCGATCAGCAGAAAAACAATCTTTATTATTTTTTCATTTTGAACAAAATTTTCTTTTTTTTACTCGTACTATTTTTCTTCTACATTGTTGCTATTCGCTCGTTATTTTTCATTTGAATTTTTTTTCGAAATTCTTTTTTTCTTAATTTGATTTTATTATAATTCTAACCATTGATTAAACTGACAAGTAAACCTGTTATGCATGTTCTTTATATTAACAGCACATATTAACGCACTATTATATATCTCGATAAATTTTGGAAAATTAAAATAATTGAGATCGGGAAAATCATTATCAACAAGGGCATTACACGGATGTTTTTTTTACCTATACCTTTCCGTACCTCGCTTCACTTTTTCTCCTTTTTCCATTGCTACCAAACACTCATCAAGAAGCAATGAGACGTAAATTTTGGGAAGGGTGAGACTCGTTCATCGGTGTCCCCTTGTATCAAAACAGAATCTATTTACTGTAACCGACGAAAATCCTCTCGATTTCTACGTTAAAAAATTTATAGAAAGATGTTAAGGCAAATACATATATCTGATCTGGGACGTTCCCTTTTTTTATGATATATTTTTCTGGGATGCTTTTGACAAAAGTCAAGGAGATAACCTGGGTCAATTCTTTCGGATGGAAAGAGTGAAAAAGTTGAAAGATAGACATGATACTCTAATGCTTAAATGAATTAATTTCGTTAATTGAATTCTACGAGTGCATCGATGTATTTTTCTCCCTTTTCCTTTGTCTTGATTTTTTCTTTTTCTCTTCTGTTTTTTTCCCTTTATTTTGTTTTGTTTTTCATTCATTCTTCCTCTTGATTTGTCCTCTTCTTCTTTCCAGGTCGAAAAATACGACATCATATACATGTCCCTCGAATTACGACCGTATGTCGTCGCATATGATATAAACACTACTCGTATCCTGTCGTACACGAGAAGAATACGACGATATACGATCGTAATTCTAGGATCATGTGTACGACCGAATTTTTTTGACCTGGGTTCCTTCTTTTCTGCTTGAGTAATCCCCATGTAGCTGATTTTTCGAAATAACATACGATGCAAAAGTCTTGGAAAAAATGTCAAACTCTGTTAAACCATATTGTCAACTTCAAAACCAATCAAATTTTGTTCTGTTGAAAAGAGCAAAGTCTGAACTATAAATTTTGTACCAGACTTGGTTTTCCAGAACGAATCTACGAAGCAAGAGAAGCCAAAACCCAGACACCTCTAAAAAAGTCCTTGGAACCTGAAAACTTTCTATTTCTCAATTATCTTGAGCTACATAGATCCAATTCTGACAACAAATACACCAAAATATAATACAACAAAAGTTACGTTGATATCGGCTTCGGTATTTTTTAAAGATCCGCTCTTGACTATTTAATAAAGAAAGTACGAAATTGAAATTTTTTGAAAAATTGAATCTTTTGCAAGAATTATGGTGGGTGTGGGTGAGTGTGGGCGTGGTTGTATGGGTGTGGATTAATAGTTGACAACCACACTCACACGGCTTCCAACACCCATAGCCCT